CCACAACATATACATTTTAATATCAAACCACATTATCAACACGTATCAAGCTAAAATGTTTGAAAAAACATTCTTTTAGTCTATACCCCCTCTTGGCACTAAGCCCAGAACACAGGGAGAGCAAGCAAACCAGGCAATGTCACGACAGCAGGGCGGCGCAGAAAACCTGACACAGCACTTTCTCACCTCACAATCACACTTGTTTTCCTGGTTCGTTCTCCAAACCACATAGTGGATGGCTTAATGCTGATGATGTGGAGTGGGATTCTGTTTGGGGAAGTATTTCCACAGGGTAGTTTGCTCCACTGAAAATATTCCTCTGCCTAAAAAATAAATAAGTAAAGATTTAAATGCATGTGTATATACAGGAAAACAGTTCTATATTTTTAACAAATCTAATTGCAGGCCAGGTCTCAAATACAAAAATAGACATAAAGAAATAACTAGATAAATTGGGGGGCGTTCAGCAAAAATAAAAAAAAGAAAAAGCTTGGACTCTTCAAAAACATATCGTGAAAGAAAGACAGAAGGATTGGATACTTGATCCGTCTTGAAAGAGACGACCGAAGCGTGAATGAATGGGCATACGCTTTTTAAGTAGTGGCAGTCCCAACTACTGAAGCTCTAAACGCTATTTAGAAATTGCTGGGCTAATCGTGAAATCTGAATATGAAGCGCCTAATATCTAATCAAGTTTCATCCGTGTGGAAATTTCCGAGTTATGGAGGAGACCGTCTTTGCTCATCAGAGCTCCAGGCGGAAGGGGTCAAGAGGAGGGGCCACGGAGCCTGCAGCTGACTCCCAAAGGGGATGACACAGGGAGAGCAGAGCGAGAAAGCAAAACAGTAAATGTCAACAAACTGGTGACTCCAAATGGAGACTAGTCTTGTTTTCTGACCGGTGATTCCACCATTTTCAAATAAAATACAGTCAGAAGGGAAAACAGTAATAAAAAAAAAATTTTTAAGAGATGAAAAATAATGGGACTCCTAAAAATAAATAAATAAAACGAAAAAATAATAATGGGACTCCATTTCCAAGGACCATTAACATTCCGTCTAAAGCAGATGTCATCGGCGTCTCTTCGGTGCTGTCTGACAAGGTTTGGATGAGATCGACAAGCCTGAGTCCTTTCTATGGGTCTACAGGCAGGTAAGTCTGGCCTGTGGGGTATGCAAGGCCCACGAAACCATCATGCCAGCTCACATCACAGGCCTCAGCAAAGAGAAGCAGTTCCAGCCATCACAGTAGGGGTGACTTCATTAAGTGGTTGACCAGGACGGCCCACGAGGAATGTTACAAATTTCCAAAAAGCCCTTGGCAGAAAAAACATCCCCACCTCTGCTCCAGGAGCCCTGCGGACGAGTTGGTATGAGTTGGGCTGCTAACCGCAAGGTCAGCAGCTTGGACCCCCAGCCACACAGAGGGAGAAAGAGGAGGCTCTCTGCTCCTGTGAGGAGTCAGTCTCGAACACCCACACGGGCCGTGCTACTTGGTGACACTGGGTTTGGATTTTTTGGTGCCAGAAGTTGGAGCCAACTCGATGACACTGGGTTTGGATTTTTTGGTGCCCCCTGCACAAAAGGCTGTGTGTGCTGGGGATTTTTGCCCATCAATACATTGGAAGGACGGAGGTGGAGGCGCGGGGGTGGGGGTGGGGAAATGGAAGTAAGTGACAACTTGAAAAACACTCTTAGATGATCTCGTACTCTAGGAATCGGAGAGGAGTAGGGAAAAGTTAGGTAGGTCATGAGCGCACAAAATACATGTTGCTACAAGTCTATTTTATCATTGACTACCATAAATCATTGAGTACAGATTATAAAACGTTAAAACATATCCAAATGTATGCACATACAAACACGGACTGTACATGGGACCCCTGACAGTACGCAGACAGGTAAGCACACGTAAAGATGTAGTCCTAAATCACAGCTGCATCAAATTGGCTGCAGTACATACTGTCCTATTGCAAGGATGTCGTGCGCACCTCCTGGCGCAGGGAGCCCAGGTGTTCAGAGCATCGCCTAAAAATGCATGTGGCGCTGAGCATCTCCACGTGAGCATTTCGTGCCTCCATTCAGTTGGTACATATCATGGGAGAAAGCAAGCTCTTGCAGCTCCCATGTATTTTTCATAGTGTCTGGTACAATGCTGTAACCTTGAATCACACTGGGGGACCCAAAGGAAGTGTCACTGGGCTGCTGGGAGGGCTCCCTGAGGCAGAGAGAAGTGGGCTCATTATACGGAAGGAAGAGCGGAATTGCTCCACATGTCCCACAGACTGAGGCCTGCCACTGCAACACTGCTCTGGAAGAAGATGGGGGAGACACTGATAGGATTTGCCTGTGCGTAGCTGTGAGTAGGAGTCCCTGCAGCGTCATCCTGCTGCTTATAAAACACACCCTCTGAGAAGCAGGGGAATGACCTTCTCAATGGCAAGAGTCGGGAGTGGAGTGTGTCCTCCGGCCCCACCAGCACATGGAAACAATGAGTCCAATGGTCCACAAGAACCTCACCCTCCACCACCCTCAGGCTAGAAGAACCAGTGTGCCAGTTACCACTGCCCACTGCTCTGGAGGGGATCCTGGATAAAGTGTGAGGACAAATGTGGAGCAAAACTTAAAACCATAACAGAGACCAGGCTTACTGGTTGGACAGATACTGGTAGAACCCCCAAGACTACGGTCCTCAGTCACCCCTCAGGTTTGAAAATGAACTTAACCTGTGCTTCAATTCTCAACCCA